CATTTCTTTTTAATTCTTGCCAGTGTTTAAACCATTCAGCACTCGCGCGCTCTCGTGGAGACTGTGCGCTCATGCACACTCGCAGTGCACACACATAACGCCTGGTTCACACATACTTTGTTTGCAGGGCGTATGCGGTGCATATTTTTTCCGCACTCAAATTAACGTATTTATGGTGTGTTTCCACTACAGCATCAAATCTGCGCTCAGTGCCGCTGGCAACGCCACTGCTTTGGGGCTTCAAATTTAGGGCAGAGCACGCCTCTAAAAACAATGTTTACACCCTGTTTGCATTTCATCATCTTCTTTTCACATCGATTGGTTGTCGCCTGGCATTTTTCGCGCGATATTTGCATAAAGTCGAGGAATGCACAAACTTTTTGATGCTCTCGGCCGCTCTCAACGCTTTCTCTGCGCCGCTTTCAATCCCATAATGCACCGCGCGAGCGTTTAAGCTCAACTACCATAGGAATTAATTGAAAACGCTCGCTCTGCTGCGCTGCACCGTAAAGCGTTCACACTGCACACGGTTGTGGTCTGGCAGTGCATTCCAGGAGCGGTGCGGCTGCAGCAGTGCAGCGATAGTTTCCGCAGCATGCACTGAATTAAAGTGACAGTGCATTGTTTTTAGTAAATGAACTTGAACATGGATTGACAGAGAAAATGTAGTAAAAACACCATAAATGCATAATTAAAGTTTACTGTCTTTCACAATCAACACATATGGCTTTTTGGCTAGGTTTGAAGGAAAAGAGCACTTTTAGATAAACAAGGCAATAATAGGTGGCACTCATTGAGGTAGGAAAACAAAGTTCTTTATGAACCGCAGGATTGCTTGTAATAAAGATTTAATGCTAAAGAAAAGGCAGTAGAGCTGACTGTTTCTGTCAATGCCGGTATGTTTTAATGTAGAATGTTTGAGATAATGTAATAAAAGTAGTTTAAATGTTGTGCCACTTAAAAGAATGACAATGCTGAAAAAGCATTTTCAGTAACAGTGTTTGGATTTGAAATCAAAATAATGGATAAATGTTGTGTTTGTGGTAAACAGCCACGGATCAGTAGTGGACTCCTGTGTGAAAGCATGCACAGTCTGTGCTGATTCTGTACCACACAGGGACTGCATATGCACTGCAAACGGAGTATGTGTGAACCTGGCATAGGCCGCCTCACATACAGCTCATGAAATCAGGCTTGTGCTGTGTGTAAGCTATTGTGCAACAACTGCACAATTGAAAAATAAAAATGCACTGCATGATCAAACATTTAGGTGGGATAAATATATATTTTTGATCTTTGTCTAAAAAAATGTCCCCCTCCACCCCTCAAATTAAAAAATACTGTCTCACAAGAGTCACCTACAAGAGGAATCCCCCCATTTTCAAAAATGAAATTCAGGCCCTGAATAAATGTCTAAAAATTATGATTGGAGTATCACTATAAATAATTCTACATGATAAAAAGAAGGCTTTAAAAAGATCGGTATCGGTAATCGTATTGGCAGATGCTTTCTGTGATCGACGATCGGTGATCTGCCTCAAAAGTCCTGATTAGCACCCCTATTATCAAATGGCCAGAGTTTTGAGATCATAGATGAGACTTACTAAGTCTCACTTTTACTTGTCTTTACCCAGAGTGCAGTTTCATAATCTAGTCTCATTAGTTATTACTACCTAGTGACTAAATTAAGTCACACAGTTTTATCACCAATGACTAGATTATGTAACAGCACTCTGGCGAGAGCAGCAGGACCAAACCTCTCCCCCCACACTTGACTAGGAGGGAGTAAAAGATCCCCATCTCTCTAATTCCTCATTTAGATAAAACAGTGTTATAAGCATGAGCATGCAATTGGTTCGGCGCTTGCCTGTGGTTGTCACAGTTATGTAGTATACAACAGACATTATAATTCAAAACATAAAACATGTAACATCACAAAAAATAGCATAGTTGATCTTCAGTTCATACAATGTGCACATTGTAGAGGGCCATTTTATATATATATATGTATACATATAACATTTCTGTCCCCCTCACTTCTGAAATTATGGCTACGCCCCTGGTGTGATGTATCAAATCTCAAGTTAAATGTCTCAAAAACTAAAGAAATGTGTATTGATTTTAGGAAAGAGTCCTCAACGAGTGTGACCATTATTAAAGGGTAGCAGATTCAGAGGGTAGAAGAGTATAAATACCTTGTAGTTGTTTTAGATTACAAATTGAGGTGGGATAAATGGTAAAAAACATTTTTAAATGTTTTTTAAAACTGACGCTGTGAACAAAAAGGGCCAGCAAAGACTGTATTTCCTTAGGAAGATGGTGTCATTCAGTGTAAGCCCTCCATTGTTAAATGTGTTTTATAACTCTTTTATTGAAAGTGTACTGACCTTTTGTATTATTTGCTGGTTCGGGAATGTTACGGTGAAACAAAAGAGTATGTTCAGGAAAATGTTAAGTACTGCAAGTAAATTACTTGGTATCCCTGTGTTGGGTTTAAAACAAATTTATCAGACTAGATGTCTTGGTAAAGCTATGAAAATGTGACAATAAGCACCCACTGTATAATGAGTTTGAGCTTTTGCCTTCAGGTAGAAGATTTAGGATGCCGTTTTTTTGTTTGTTTTTTTAAATAGGGAGAAAAATCTTTTATATCACAGGCAGTGAAGTTCTTAAATGAAAGATAGGAAAGAAAGAGGGTTTTTTTCTTTCTCTCTCTCTCTCTCTCTCTCTCTCTCTCTCTCTCACCCCTTTCATTAAATGAGCAGGTCTCATTCAGTATTAGTATTTCTTGATTAATTGCTGTGAAATTTATGTTGCATTGTCTTTCGCAAGAACCGCAAATTGAAACAAGACACCATGACTTTATTTATCCCCTTGGGGAAATTGTGTTTCAAACTAACAATATTTTCAATATTCCAGCCAAACTACCTTTATTTATTTATTTATTTATTTTTCCAGGGTGAAAGTTTTAACGTGGAAGAGAATTATGATTCGTCACAGAGAGGATGTCCCTTTGGACAACTGGACGGAGGAGAGAACTGACTCTCTCCGCAAGTTCACTGACTTTCATGAAGCAATTTTTGACACTCACGGGACCAGAGGAAACCACATGGACCTTGGACAGCTCTATCAGTTCCTTAGTGACAAAGGATGTTCTAATATCTTTCAAATGTACTTTGGGATTGAGGGGAGATAACAGTTTGCGTGCATTATAACAGTTTTGTGTGTGCATTTTTTCCTTTTTTTTTTTTTTTTTGCCTTAACTTTAGACTTAGTTTTGACAACATTAAACCTTTTAAAAGTTTAAATGTTATATCACACTCTCAGAAAAAAAAGGTACAATTTTGTACCAAAGAAAGTACAAACCCTTGTCACTGTGGCAGTACCTTTTAAGGGCACAGAATTGTACCTTAATATAAAGGAAAATATTTGTACCATCCCAATATGTACCTTAAAGGACATGATTTGTACCATGGGGAACCAAAATGTACCTTTTCATTTTAAAAACTTGTTGATACAATATTGTACCTTCATCAAAGGTTCAAATCTTGTCCTTTAAGGTACCACCCCAGTGACAAGCCCATTTGTTCCTTAACTGTGGCAAATATGTTCCTTCAAGAACTATTAAAGGCAATTTTCGTATTGAATAACATGCACATTCAACAACTGAAACCAAAAGATATTTTAATATCAGTAACTGCAAATACATATCAAATAGACATAAGTGGTTGAACAGTAAAATATTTCTTTGTGTAAATACATCTTTTCAGATTACAATAAAGACTTTAGCGGAGTATCAATTTTTAAAAAAAGCTGCAAAACATTTCACAGTACAATTAAACTAAAATGTTACAGTACATAAAATACAATTACAAATGTTATATTATGTAACAAAACTAGAAAACATTTTCCCCCCACTTTTCACACAACATCCCTGAATTTATTTAACATTTTCAAAAAACACCTCCACCTCAACTGCTCGGCAAATTTCAGATCCCTCCATTTTTACAATGCTAAAGATTCTCTTCTCACTGAAAACTTGTGTCCAGTCAGACGTTCCCAAAATCTGCACAGTGGGATATTGTGTGTGCTGGTTTTTCCTGAACCATGTGAAACAACATGAGGGTGAGTAATTAATGACAATTTTCATTTTTGGGTGAACTTACCCTTTAAGGAATCCTGGAAACACCTAAAATCAGTTACAAGCATGCATTGGGCCAATTTCCTGGAATAACTGAAATGCAAATAAGAGAAAAATAGTTCATTACAATTAATGGTATTTCTTGTTTGCCATTGTATAAAATAACAATCCCCACATTTGAGTATTTAACCCTTTACCGTTCCTGTAAATTTTGCCTAAAACGCCTAAAAAAGGCATACCCAAAGTAAATTGCATGCTGTTCTTGAACCATTTGGAGTACATACATGGTTTTTGGTCTCTTTTGAAAGGTGACACTCTGAGGTGTGTTCCTCAACAGTCAGAATCGCTGTAAGTCTTATTGGTATTGAGTAATAGAACTTTGAACACACTGAAAATTAAAATAAAAAATCCGCCTACATTTTTTTTTGTAAACAGATGCCTGCAGATGACTGTAGCTGGGAGCTATTAGCTGGAAAATACATTTGGATCACAGAATAAAGTCTTACCAAGCAAAATGTTTCAAATTTGATAACAATACCTTAGAAAATGAGTGTTTTACACATGTTTATCTAAATTTATGTCTAGGCGCTTCCCAAAAAAAGCCACTTGGAGACTCCAAATGACCCTTTGTAACCAACGACACATAAAATGCTGTAATTCTTGAATGCTTTAATGTACAGTCATAATTTTGGGCTCTAATGAAAGCTTACACTTAGACCTATTCAATTTCTTATCCAGATTCACTGTCAATAATTGCTGACACATAGTAACTGAAGCATAAACACATTATGTAGTGTTTTTTACGATTTTTTTCAGAGGTGCTGTCATCATGTCCCTCAGTATATGGCTTTTTGCTGACTGGCTCCCAGACTTCACTCGATTCAATGTCAGATGATTGTCTGCGATATAAAAAAAAGCAACACACATAACACAAGTTAGCAGGAACACCTCAAATCACAAACACATATAACACACACACGACAGAAGTTAGAAAGAACACCTCAAACACATAAAACACACACACGCACACACACAGAGAGAAGAGGTGTGCACCCTGACTAACTGGTGCCACAACAACAACCTCTCTCTGAACATCAAGAAGACCAAGGAGCTGGTGGTGGATTTCAGGAGACGGACCAGTGAGCACTCCCCCATCACCATCGATGGGACTCCAGTGGAGCGGGTCAGCAGCTTCAAGTTTCTCGGCGTTCACATCACCGAGGACCTCACCTGGACTACTCACACACAGTGTGGAAGGCCCACCAGCGTCTCTTCTCCCTCAGGCGACTGAAGAAATTTGGTCTGAGCTCAAAAATCCTCAGACAGTTCTACAGTTGCACTGTGGAGAGCATCCTGACTGGCTGCATCACTGCCTGGTACGGGAACTGCACCGCTCTCAACCGGAAAGCCCTGCAGAGAATAGTTCAGACAGCCCAGCACATCGTCGGAGGTGAGCTTCCCTCCTTCCAGGACATCTACACACAGAGATGTGTGAGGAAAGCATGAAGATCATCAGAGACTCCTGCCACCCGAGCCACGAACTCTTCTCACTGCTACCATCAGGAAGACGATACCGCAGCATCAGGACCCGAACCAG